TTTTTTTTTCTCTGTTAATAGACCAGGGACAATGTGACCAGCAATGCATCACATTTCAGTTCACGTATTGAAAAATACGGTGTTAATGGTGAAAACGGACAAAATCGGCCTTCGCCACGTGAGCTAATTATTCAAAAAAATATCAGGAATTTTGCTCTGCAAACATTGCAGGTTCGATTCTGTATTTCTTATTTACTAATTCTCAAAATTTGTTCTTTTTTATGTCGTAAATTTTTTTTCATGCATTCATTTTTTTACACGATTGGTACCACTCCATCACAGATTTTTTTGTCCTTGGTTTGTTCAGTGCATAGTACTAACCACATGCACATCGCCGTTTAATTTCAAAAATGTCGTTTAGGGATTTGTGTCACAAATGAGTCTTCCTCCAAGCGAAGTTCGTTACGGCGAATTGCAGGAACAGAGGCGTGCTGATATAAAACGTCGAACTGACTTGGAAAGGCAGAGAAGTGCTTTTGTTTTGAAGGTAGAGATTTGGCACTTTATCAAGTTCCCAAAACAATTTTATGAGTCACAGCGCTATCTAACTGTGTCGAGGAAACACGCTAAATGCATCAGGACTTTCTTGTGTGTTAGACCTTGTTTTGTCAACATTACTTTTTCAGCCTTCCAGTTCAAATCCTGGACTAAATTCAAGCGGGTCTGAGGCTACTCAGCAGAATTCAAAAGGCCATTTAAAAGAATCTGTTTCGTTTGCTGGAGTTGACCATTTTTGTGGAGATGACGGTTGGACTCCGTCGACGACATGTCTTCGTAGAAATCCATTTATTGATGAAGCGGATCGAGTTGATCCTTTATTAGAGCAGATTCTAATCATCAAAGGGTGATTTTTTCGTCTCTCCATATTTGAAATTCATTTTCAGGAAAAACACCCAGCCGTAGATTTTGTAATTTCGAGAATGAAACGTTATTTATTGAGGAAAACTGTCAATTCTATATTTGCGTGGATTTAAATTTTGTTTTTTCTGTTTGCCGATGCAATGAAGTCCTGGCTTGTTATTTTTCCTGAAATTCCCGTATTACAGGTATTTACAGCAGGCTGCTGAGGATGGTCGACTGGAAGAAGCTAAGATTCTGGAACGTAATTTGCGCGATCTTGAACTTGAATTGGAGAAACAGAATGGCACTGTTGACTCAGGGAAGTGACTCATTCATTTATCTGTAAAGTACGCAGAGGCTGTTTATTTCATTTAATATATGTTGTGTTGTTGTGTAAGTAGTGTGTGGGTAAATCAAGGTCGAAATGCCGCTATCCTACAAGTGCCTTGATGAGCATTCAAGCGTCGGTCGGTCTATCGATCAGTTA